CTCATGAAGAGGTAACCACGATTCCAGAATAAGTTAAAATTATCAATAAAAGCAAAGAACACATTAGCTGTGTCAACATAGCCTAATACGTTCTCTTATTTTCTCTTACTGGATATGCACATTATTGTTTTTGCAAAATCCGTCTCTGGACTTGTAATCTCCATTATTTTACAAACACTGCTGGACAACTAACAATTCTGAAGAGTCTCAGATTTTCTTTTTGCCTGCTGAGGTGTAACATTCTTCTTCTTTCTCTCACTCGCATGTGAACTCGTCTGCTCCTCCACCCTTCCTGTTTATCCGGCCCTCCACCAACTCCAGCTCATTGCCTACAGCTTGCAGCAAAATCTCAATCTGTCACACTTGTCTTCCTCCTTCCTGCCAGCCACCTTCTTCTCATTCAGGCGCCCAGTCGCAGCTTTCCTGCAGACTTGTCACTTGTGCAGATTTGGCATTAGCTCCTCTTTAATGTTCTACAGCTGCCCCACATACACACTTCCCGAGCTGTCAGCGGAAGCTGCAGGGGTGCCAGTGTGTATACACCACCATTAATATCATTAAAGGTTATACCATTTTCTTTGACGTACCAGGTTCTGCTCCGGCTACTGCTCCCCAATAATTCAAGGCACCACTATGCTGGGTGACAGGGAAAGCTAAAGCTCCAGTGCCCTCCAGGCAGAACCCAACAGAAATGAAGGACATAACTCAGCAATAAATATTTGTCTGCTTCCCCACATGCCGTTAAAACACAGATTGCATTTCCTTGAAGCACTGTGTGAACCATGTAAGGTCTTTGTGTTATTGCTGTGATACTGTAGTTCAGTTTTCCAGCATAGATTAGCAGCTATGAGGAAAACACCACAACATCTTAAAGGGTCTACTTTCCTGGCGACCTCCTTTTTAAATCATAATTTAACGTGATTTTTTTAAGAGCGAGGTTAATTTTCACAAGCTGCACCTATTTCTGATTATTGCATGCCCTGTAGTATCAACACATCCCTTACATGAGGTAGGTTGAAACATTTAAAAAAGTAACTACTCATTCCCTGGATATTTTCAGAGGGATGAGGAGCAATGTCAATGGCATCTATTAGTCTGGAAGAAGGTCAAAGCCATTTTCACGTCTTTATGACTCAAACCACAGTCACATGGGAAGTCGCACAAGATCCAACAGCAACACCTGAAGCAGTTGCCACAATTAAGCACAGTAATCATGAATCAGCATCCAACACCGGGCAACAATCCATTAGTAAATAAAATTCTCAATAAAAAAAAAAAATGAATTTTGTGTTTACTGCAGGGATCTATGTCTGATAAAACATGTTTGATGATCTGAAAAACCCCATGCAAGACGCTTTGCATAATCCTTCATTGGGCACAAATTTAAATGTTGAATAATATATTAATGCTTGAGTGTGGATTTTTTTTCTGTTTATTAGAATAATCAATTGCTTAGAAAATCCATGAATGCAAAGGCAGCCTCAGTCATGAGATAGTTTTATGTCTTGAATAATAGGCTGTTGACAGTTTCAGGCTACCTGAGTCTAAAGAATGTGAATCTTAGAGAAAAAAAAAAACAATTCAATCTTTTCTTTTTTTATTTTTATTGTCTTTCTAATGTGACACTTCTCTTGTTTCTACCCCAGTCTTCTTGTGACTGGTTGATAACCCGCAGGCCAGTCAATTACTCCTCTCCCAAAATTACATGCTGAAGAAAGGAGTCCAGGTTGAGTCGGTAAAAAGGAACGAGCCGAATCATCAGCAACCCTTCTGACTAAGACATGAGAGACTCTCCCATTCATATATCATGAACATGATAACTTTCTTTAAGAGCTTTTCAGCACATCCCAGTTCAGAGTCCAAAGTGGGGAATCACCTCACCTCATGTCAGAAAGACATTAGCCAAATCAGCAGTCTGTCAGTCAGTTTAATCTTCACCCGTTTGTGCCAAGATATTGTTGACAGTCAGGCCTGTAGAAATCCAGTCTGACCTGTGAGCAAAACAACAGCCTAACACTAACAAAAGAATAAGGGACCTCGTTCTTTTTTAGTGTTGCTTCAGGTACGGAAAGGTAGTTGATCTAGATTGAGTTGAATCCATCCTTTATTTTCCTTTTCCCTAGAGATAAGAGTTAAATTAGGGTATAAATTGCCTTATCTGATGCTCCTAAGTTGACAATAAATGTTTAGTAAATAATTTTTTATGAGCTTAGATAATATTTTTGAAGGTTCAATTCCCCATTGACAAAAACATTGTCTATTTAATCGCAGCACATAGAGTTAAATTTGAAATTTCAATCAACTCTTGATCAGGTTTATTACCAATTACCACTTATTTTCTCTATAGCCAATTTTCAAAGTGTTCCTGTAGGGAAACCTCTTCTTCTTTTATGTCATTTACGTTGCTCAGTGGATAGGAGAGTGTTTTATCCTCCCGAATGGTTTTGAGATGAGACTGATAGCAAACTGGAGTTTGCTATCTTATTCAATGGTTTTATAACCGTTGAATATTTCAACGCTGCTTTATTGAGCCACACTTAAAAGGAGTGCCGCTTTACGACTGCAAATGACAGAAGTTTGGAAGACATTTTGACCAGAGCTGTAAAAACAGCGCCTGTCAAACCATGGTAAGACGCCGACTATCTTTTCCCTGAAACAGAGACATCTCGCTGTCTAGTTCCTGACTAATTTTAAAAAGTAGGGCAACTTCAGGCTAAAAGTGCATGGTGCAGATGTATTACTAAGGGCAGGACTAGCACTTGGCATCTCACACTAAAGAACAAAGGCAGAGCTGAGACAACCTGGAGAGAAACAGCAGACAGCAAAATGCTCCTCATTTTCATACGAAGGGAAACGCAACAATGATGAAACGGACAGAAATCTTGCTCAACCAAAACGTCCGCATTCACTTATCACATTATGAGCAATGCAAACAGAAGTTCACGTTCATAAACTAGAAACTCTCAAATGACACAGTGGCATTTTATGCTGTTTTGTTTGCAAGTTGCACCCAGATGGCACTGAGAGTCTGTTAAGCTGTTACACGCTGCATGAATCACCTCAGCTGACAACCGTCATCTGGCAAGGAAAGAGTTTGCACATTCATGACTTGTTTATGCGTATTTAAACATCTACTGTGCAGTGCAAAAACTCCCACCCATAAGGTGTTTGTGATATTTTCATTAAAATCTATTCTGCTGAGATGGTGGCCAGAAAATATTAGAAAACCACCCCTAAGACAGAAGCAAGATTCTTGTCAGGTAAATAAGTTTAAGCACTTCAAAAAAAAAAAAAAACTGATTGAAAAAGAAATGCAAGGGACACTTTTACATTGTACTTATAAAGGATATAGTATCTCCAACTTGTCTTGTCAAAACAATTCAACTTAGTAACGATTTTTGATCAAATACATCACCCTAATCTCGCTTTAGAAATATTAAGTCCATGTTTTCAGTGGAAAATCATATCAAATCCCATTAAGCAATTGTTTTTTTACTGAACAACTGGTGTCCCATTTATTGCAGAGAGGGGTCTGTTACCATTCCTTTGGTGAAGTCTCTTCAGATTACCCAGAGTCCTTTTTCCTCTATCATGTTGCCATTAACTCTATGTGGTTTTGGGGATACATTTACTGAAAGACCCAGTGACACAATGTCTATTTTCTGTCAAAGGTCATTAGATTTATTGGCTAAGGTTCTTATAGAAAGCATGTGTTTATAGAAAAATGTTTGAATTTTATTTATTTATTTTTTTTACATACAAATCGCAAATAGGAGTGGCACCAGTGATTTTGTTGAAAACAACATAAAACAATTATTTCTTGATGAGGAATTATTTTCCCCAATGAGTAATTGCATTCATATTAAAGCTTGGAATTTTCATTATTTTTAGTGTGAGATCGTCCTACTGCAATAATAATAATAATAATAATAATAATAATAATAATAATAATAATAATAATAAAAACAAATTTATTTTAAGGGTTTTAGAACATCCATACCAGGGGAGTCAGTCAATGTGAAGGGTGGAGTTGACCTCGGCTTACAATTAATTTCAGTCACAGTTACTTAAGTTGACATGTCTCCATGTTACCAAAACCATCTCTCTGCTTTATGACAATGAATAACATTTAATAACATTCAACATAGACACGCCCTCTTGTTCAGTGCCAACCGAGTGATCCAAAGCATTTTATTTGAGCGTGTTTGTGATTCAGTGTGAAAGAGAAACCAATGGCAACACAGAAATCTTTTTTTTTTTTTTTAAATTATATATAACACTTGATAGTCATTTTGTAAAAAAGTTATGAGTGCCAAACCAAACTGGCACACCTACCCTTGTTATATAAAGTACTAATTTGCTAATTTACAACTAATTTATTCCAACACGGACATTTCTGTGATGTATTTTTTGATACTGTCTTTGAGGTGGGAAACAGCAGCTCACCTTCAGGTGCCCGGCATGCATGTTGGCCCTCTGACACATCGAGAGGAAATGAGGTAGCATTGTGCGTTCCAGCAGGATGTAAACAGACACCTTCCTTTTAAACCCGGCATCTAACAGATCTCTGAAGATGTCGACGTCGGTGAAGACATCCATCACCACGGCTATCACCTGGAAAAGGAAACACAAGTGTGTGCGCGACTTTTGTATCCCCCTGGGTAATCTTAAATAATGTGCACCACCTGTTCAAGCTTTAAAATATGCATATTAATGCACACATGGTGGTGCTCTTAGATTTTAGCAGGTTTGATGCCTTAGACTTTGCACGTCTTAATACATCTCACACAAAATAATTAAAATTGCTGCAGTTGAGACGCAATTCAAATAAGGGCAAATCATCCAATTGTCCATTGAGAAAGCATTTCAATGAAGTAATCTGAGAATGTTTCATTCAAATTTTATTTTTTTTTCTACAGAACAGCTGCTGTGGACTAAAACAAGTCATAAACTGTGAGGCCTCGGATGAGTCAGTTGCATAAGCTGACTCATGCACATGCACCCTATCAGTACACTGCACATGCTCATGCAAATATTCGGCTTAACACGCGTTAATGTTGCAGGGATGGCTTCAGTGTGAAGTACTTCTTTGATAAAGCACCATAATCACGTTGCACTTCACTCTCTACTGACACTTGCTCTGCAGTGGACTATGGACTCTGGTCCTCACATGACGTATACAGTTAGTCAGTTTTAATTTTGCTGAGTTTTGTTTTTAAAATTGGGAACCTAGTTACCTGACAGTCATTTTTAGGGCTGAGAACTCAAACGTATGTGAGAGTTTCCCACAGTAAAGCCAAACAGCATGGTTTGGTTTACTAATATGTACACATTAGGCACACATTGGATATTCTGGTCATGGTTTTTCAGAGGTTTTAAAACAACTATTCTGAAAAAAAAAAGGCAATGCTTTCCTTACAGATTGAAACAGCATTTAAGAAAACTAAATTTCACCATTTCAAACATATGAGAGAATATATTATAAACTACAATATGTGGATTAGAACATAAGGGCAATTTTCCTAATCGTTATCTAAGATCTTCCTATTGGTACAAGAAATGTCAATTTCTGTTCACAAATAGAGTAAAGGGCCAAGTTGAACCCTAAAAATCACACACAATAATCACCATCATTAGTTGTGTTCAGTAATATTTTCTAATAAATGGACAAGCAATTGGGTAAAACAAAACTTAATTGTTTCATTTTGTAGTGCTCCTCTAGCCATGCCGCCCCAGGCAAAGAACCACATACCTCACAAAATAAATAAATAAATAAATAAATAAATAAATAAATAAATAAATAAATAAATAAATAAAATACTGCTATGCAGAGCAGAACAGCAAAAAATATGGTATTCTATGAGATAAAAGAAAAACTAAATATTCATTTTTACATGTGCTCATTTTTATTTTTATTTATTTTTTTTTGCTCTTTTGTCAAATAATAGAGATGATACAGAAAATATGACACTGAAGTAAACTGCAAACACCTACCTTCTGCGCCTGTGCAATCATTTTTCTGACCACTTCTTTGATGTGGGCCTGACCCTCCATCGGGGGCTGCGTGTACACTGTCGTGCGTGTCACCCCTCTGTACGACTCGCTGTCAGGCCAGCCCAGGTCCATTTGCGGGATAGAGGTGTCCGAAACATCCGGCCAGTACTGCAACGACAGCGGCTCCTGCTCGTCCTCTCCCTCCCCTGAGAAAAGCTCCGTGTCCGGGTCAAAGGGCTCAAGAGCGGCGGTCAGTGTCTCCTGCTCCAGGTCGGAGAGGAAACCCCGCAGGCCGCGAGCCTCCAGGTACTTCGCGAACGCCTCGCGACCATCCCGGAGGAGCGCTTCAAGCGCGAGACGCTGCTCCTCACAGTAGAAGAACTCCGGTTTGGACTCGTGGATCCGCGGGTTTACGTTGCTATCATCCAGGCACTGGATCTGGGATAGAGCCATTTCTTCGAGCTGAAAATATCTACCAGGTTATGACACAGCTATGGACACTTTAAAAGTCCGCAGTTCTTCCAGTCTTTTTCAGACTTTTGGCAAAACAAATATCGTCATTCTCAGCATATTTGACATTTAGGGCTTAGACCATGTCAGAATATATACAGACCAAGTCGCTCCTCAATTCCAGTGGTGCGTTTTAAAATTCGGCCATTGCTGGTATG